ACCACTTGATTCGGCACCACATCACCTGTCCTTGATTGCGCCGTGATGGCCCGTGCGGCTCAAGCCCGTCGCGCAGACAGTGCAGTTTGTGAAATCTACTCCGACACAGCCTAAAACATGGAAATAAATGAAGTTGAAGCGTTTCGTGCGCAGCTGTTTCAGAAATTCATATCTCGCACGCATCGCTGACTGACAAAAGCCGTTGACCGTTTGGCCGAGTCTGTTGGCATTATCACCCTCGAGCCTAGCCACAGCAACGCCGGCCACATTTCCGCGATGCTGAAGCGTAGGAGTAAGCCGCTCCGACTCAACAGACGTTTTGAATACTAAAAGACGGAGCAACGCATTTTCTCAAACTCTATCTGCAATATCCTCGTGAGGCATTCGGAAAGTTTTAGGCAAATCAGCATACCGACTTGTGACAATTAAACGTTTTCAAGAACTTTCCCAGCAAGTCGTCTAGAACCTCCGTGACATAAATATTGAGCTGGTTGTCCGGTGGATTCATGCCGTTGGTGAATTTCTGCGGGGTGCTGTATGAAGTTTCATTTGAGATTCACATTCATTCGTTGTTCAGAAATGACGTTTTATCGACGAGTGTATTTGATTTAAGGCATCGATGCCCCTCTATTGAATAATTGTCATACCCTACATGTGCACCAATATTTTATGCAAATGAAGCACACCAGGAGCCTGAGACATGTTTGAGTAATACCACACAAGCTTTATGTTAATCGTGCTGTACATTTTGCAGCCTTATTTTCAGTGCAATGACGTGGTCTATATGCGAACAACGTGTATCCCGGTTGTGTGCAATATGAGTTTTCTTCCCCGCTCTACAACTGACAGCTGAACTCTGGGCTGAGAGACAGGATTTGGACGGAATATGTTGCAATGCCGGTTGGTGTAATCATTGGAACTTCACCAGCTACATAGCAGTGCATACTGATGCATACATACAGCTACACAAACGGTGCAATGTGCGCACGTCTCTCCGCCTTTGTTGATTTACTCGCAGCGTCTGTCTGTCCGCGTGCATTAGCCTAACGGAAAATGTGTCCCGGAGTTGTGGCGGATGCTCTTTGTCGACGCTCGTGACGCACAACGCGTGTTTGTGCGGTGGGAGTCGCGAGTCGGAAGCCCTTTGCAGCTTCGTACGTACTGCGGGTCTAGCACCGCTGGACTCGTTTCCGTTGTTTATTTTCCACGTTGTGTAATTTTCTCACATATTTGAGTGTTTTTATCTGTGCCGCTACTCCGCTTCGCTTTTAGAAGTTGGCAAGTTTGCTAGTGCGAGCGTTTTCTGATTGATCGCCCCACATGTGCGCCAAGAGAGCAGATGGTGCTGGTCGTTTGCGATGCCTACAGTAAGATTGGGAGGTCAGTGAGGTCAGTGAGGTCGTGGTCTCCCCCACGCGTGAACTCCGACTCCGAAACCAGACCTCGGACATGTCCAGTGACTTTTCCATTCAACTGCCGGCCTCCGGGTCGCTGCCCGCACGGTCAGGGGGCCTCACCGAGACAAGCCGGGGTCAGACGACCGGCAGCGGGGTCGCAGAGGCCACGGACGGCTCGCGCGGCCTGGCGACGACATCAAAGGCACCGCGGACGACGTGGCTGCGCGTGCTGCCAGGGCGGCCGCGGACGCGACGCGTGGTCTGAAAACTGTGTCCGAAGATACACAGCGCGTTGCGCAGGACGTGAACACCGTGGCGCAAGACGTTGTTCAGCTGGTAGAAGACGTGGATAAACTGGCAGAAGACGTGAAGGGCGCCGTGGGTGACTTCGAGACGACTGCGGCGCGGGTCGAAAGAGACTTTCTGGACGGCGACGGTCGCTGAAGTAGAGGGCAGAGGGTAGGAGAGGTAGATGAGTATGGATCGAGAACCAGCCGCGGCGCGAACGGTCATGACCGCGAAGCCAACGTTTGTATGTTGGACCACCATACGACAGACAAGCATGCACGCTTTCATAGTTCGCGAGCGATTGACAGAGTATACCGCTTTCGCAGCGAACGCCTGGGTGTTAATCGTGTGGGCATCCGCTGCTTGTATTTTCAGGCGTTCCTTCTGCGACCTGGCCTCGCTTCCGCGGAGGCGAATCTCAGATTCGTCTGCTGGAGTGTGGGCCTATAGTTAGTTGGCGTATCGTGTTGGCTTCTTCACCCACAGGAACTGATCATCTAGCCTGAGAATAGCCACCTTTTCGTCCCATAGAGTCGGTCATGTAGTCACCGTCTGTGGCCGCCTCTTTGAGGCCGGTTTTTGCATTATCGAGCTGCATCGCTCGGCGCTAAGCAGAAGCGTGCGCGTGCTCGTCTCGGTTGCGTGTCGCTGGGACATGACGCTCCCCGCCGCCATGTGACGTCAGGTGTTTGCCGTCCTCTGCACTTTCAGTCCGGACGGCGCCAAGCGGTCCAGGCTGCGCTTGCAGGGCTATTCCGCTGACCATTATATGGAAGAAATAAGTAGCATAACCAAGGGTATGTGTAGGAGCACCGTGGTCACGTTGCCAGCGCCGCTACAGCTGCTTCTGTTGGTCCGCGGCATGCCTGCCCTCTGCTGTTGGCCAGGTTTGAGTCGCGTTACCGGCTGCTTCGAACGGCCGTCTGCTTTTTAATGCGCGCCACGTTCTGAGCGGCACCCTGTCTTCCGTCTGCCTGTCTTCTGCTCTGTTATATCACGTAGCATGTCCCACCGTTCTCTTGTTGGCGCTGCCGCTCTATCCCTCGCTGCTGCCGCGTTTGTAGCCGCTCTCCTGGGTCTGCGCTGCTGGTTCTCTTCTCCGGCATACGCTCTGTTTTCCCCGTTGCACTGTGAACACCAGCAGCCGTTACTCTGCTGACGCCGCCTGACCACAGCTGGCCCCGCTTCTCCAATGGTGTACGCCAGGTTTGCATCTTCTGATGTGCCGCTACTTGCTATCTATGAACGTCGCACCACTATTCCTCAGCCGTAGTTGCGGATCTGAAGGAATGCACTGCAACGCTCGCCCTGCTGCTACTTTTTGTGTCAGTGTATCTTAGCATGTTCTGCACATTTGCTTGCCGAGCAGATTTGTTCTGCGAGTGTACTCGGGCTGCGCTGGTACCAAGGGCTCACGTGTTGTCTTGTTCCAGCGCGCCTGGCACGCCAGGAGGCGCCTCCCACATCTAAATGAACGTGTATGCGCCTCTGCTTGAGGTATCTACACTAACCAAGTTGATCGTGTTTGATTTTGTTTGTTTGTTTTCCATGCCCTGCGTTTCTTCCATAAATTATGACACTGAAAAGTTTTGGTATGTCTTCGGAGTAAGTTGGCCTGCTTCTTTCAGAAGCGGCCTTGCAGTGCCAACTAGTGCGTTTGACTATCTTTTAACAGTTACAGATTATATTTTGCTCTCCCACCCTTCGTAACCCATGAAAACGTAATAATTAATGACGAGGTGTAGACGATGTACAGGCAAGAATGCTGTATGCTATGGTAGTTATTAGAATTAACTTAGCTGCCATTTGCTGCTTATTAGTCATTTGAGTCAGTCGCAGCTTATGTTGTAATATATATATTTATGCTATTCCGTCTAATACGTCCCATTTAAAATGTGAACGCGACACACGTCGCAAACCGTTTTGTGGAGTGCAAGCCACTGCAGAGGTCACATGAATTTTCAGGGACCATGGTGCAACCGGGATTCATACCCCCCTCCCCCCCTCACATGGGAATCGTGACGGCAACCACCTGGCCATTACGCCTCATGCTTCGTTCCTTTATAAGAATCTTTACAATTAAAGGAAATGCTTCATATTGGAAGATATTAAAGCAAGCATCAGATGTGATGAAATAAGCTTACTTATAACTCTTGGTATGCTTTTTATGTCGAAAAGTCTGCTTCAGAAAAACACAGTTCTCTGTTTAAGTAGATATATTTCACAATGCGTCATGGTTTGGTTACGTCATCATACCTTGCGCGACACTGATTGAGCGCTAATTGACGGTCAATAAATCAGGAAATGGCGCTCATGGTCGCCAGATATGAACGCATCGACAGTTATATCTTTATTTGCCTTGATCGCCACACGGCTTATGGAATGGCAGAATTTGAATGCCGTTATTATTATGTCATGAATGCCAAGGTGACTGCAGTACTCTCTCCGGTATACCTTTCCCCATTTTTCGCGGGCATGTAGCTTTGAAACTAGAGAGGCTTAGGTCTTAAGATGGGCAGGATTGTGAACAGCGCCGAAAGGTCTTCAGGATGGCTATTTCAGTTCAAAACTTCAGACAAATGTGAAACACTACATCACTTCTCATGTACAAACATTTTCTCGCTGATAAGTACTGTTCTCCTTTCACATTGAAAAAGTGTCAATGAACGGCATGAATTACCGATGAAATGCGTTGAACCGAACAAGCTTATCAATTCTTTATTTTCAAATGCATGCTGGATTTGGGGCAGGTAACTATGTCCGCCCCAAATCAAAGCTATCAGCCAACCCATCAATGTTTGATGATATCATTACTTTTTTTGTTCTCGAGGTGTCCCAGGCAGCGTGATGGCGGTGCGACCACTGGATCGTAATTGGTATGCCACTGACCATTTAGCCAAGCCTGCGGCATCCAATGACCGCATTGCCGCCGCTGAATTTAACTGGCCCACCAGTGATGAGATTACAGACTGCTGACGTCACATGTCCTGTTGTCCACGTGTCCTCACGTGCCCAAGAGGCACGGGGTGCGCCAGTCATCATGTCATAAGCTCAAGTTCTGCTCGGTAGTTGAAATATTCTTAGTTCCGATAAGTTGGCAAACGCGTTCAGTTGTCCGTCTATCCAACGTTGGATGGTCGTCCTCCAAAGCTCTGATTGAAGGATTTGTGCTACATCTAAGCGTGAGCAATGAGCACCATCAGTGAAACATGTAAACAATGAACTTACCCATGTTGTGATCGTTGGTTTCGCCGGTGGTATATCGGACACGCATACCTTGAACATCACGAGCTTTCAAGGCTTGGTTTTTGAACCCATTATTTCATGATGTTTGCACCAGGTAAATAACTAAGTTCCGGGGTGATAACCCAAGGTCCCAGATTTGAGCCTTGGGAGCTGTGACAAAAGATAAGTTAGTGACGTCAGATTCGATGTTATGTGAACGCAGCATTCTGTTCAAGTGTCTTTTAGTCTGAGTTGGAACTTTATCCATTTTGGTCTGAGGCCGAGTCTTGTTCTTTTGGCTTGGCCTCGAGTCTAAGTCCGGGGCGGAATCCGTCATGTTTTCGTCTGACAATGCGAGCTCATTTTTCAAATTGAAGTGTCCAGATCTCATTTACCTGCAAATTTACGTAATGCATTGTTCGACTTCCGAAAGTCAGTCCCAAAAATGCATCCAAATCTCAAACGCTGACGCGAGCCTGAGTTCAGCAGGGGTCTGACCCATGCCCGGCGGCGAGACAACTGTCAGCTGGGCGGTCGCGGCGTAGGCCGACCATCATCCGAGCGGTCGCGACGTAGGCCGACCATCTCGGCGCGATTGCTTCTGTCCGTCAGCGGCGGCGCCGCGGCGCCAGGCCAGGCCTCTTCCATCACACGATCCCTGGCCGGTCGACGGGCCGGTGCGGGTCGACAAAGGTCGCAGAGGTCGCCGAGAGTCGGGCTGACCGGCGTAGCCCCGGGACGTCGGGTCACCGGGCTGGCGATCCAGTGGTCGGGCCGAGGAACATCTTGGTCTGGGACTGACTGACTGGCGGGCTCCGGCGTGTCGGAAGTTGGGAGGTGTGCGATTTGCGGTGCGTTCCATGCATTCAGCACCCATAGGGTCAATGCTACATTGCACTAAGCCAGGTAGCATGATCCCCTTCCTCTGATATCCCGCGGCGGAACCCGTGGCTAAGTATTGCAATGAAATTGGAAAAATACTGTTCGTCTTTGTCCGTCTATAGCAAAGCTTTCCAACTGATCCAACTGCATTGCCACACCGACCGAAGTAAAAGTGGTAGTCATACTCAGTCGTCTTTAGCTATTAATTTTTATCACGCTGCACGACGAGTAGAAATCCGGTTGCCAGAGGAAATTTCCGCGCATACTGTTTTCTTTGTACCGCCAAGATTGCAATATCCGCAAGATATATGAAGGTCCTAAAAACTCTCCAGTCCGCTGCATCCATTCCCACCTGTCAGCAACAGCGTTCAACGGTCCAATACCTGCTGAAGGGCGATACGTTTGAGTCGCTGCAGCAGTGTCAGGCGATATTTTTTTCGAACCCTTCGTGTCGGTAGCGAATGAGGCCGAATCGTACGTCCGCTGTCCTGAGCACAAAGCCTGCCGAGTGGGGAACTAAAGAGCGGCACCGTGGCAATAACGAGCTCCATAGCGCTGTTGGCTTTTGTGGCAAGCCACAGGAATCGAAGGAGCCGATCGGCTTTGTCAATCTGGACACCGCGTCGCCTGTATATAGGGGTCTGTTGGTTTTATATTAGAAGATCTGAAGATCCAAATGCCGATGAAGTGCCGCCGAACACGGAAAGCTGGAAGGAACTAACCTTTGTTTGTTGTCCTCAGCGCACTCTCAGTGGGCACAGCTAGTGGATTGGTATGCGGGCTGCCCATGCAATTAACCCAATACCAGACTGATCAGCTTTTGTTTCTGGTCTTTGGGGTGGATTGTTAACCCCTTGAAGTATTTCTTAGCTTCATGTAAAGACAGGCTAAATTATATTTAAGTGGATCGTACCTCAGCGGGCAACCCTTCGCTACAAACAGGATTTAACTCCTGTCACGAACCCTGTTCGGAGTGGTGGATTGCAATCATAATTACAATCCTGCTCGTGAGCATCCTTTAGTCCAAAGAAATCATGGTTGCATGAAAACATTGAAAGAGCTATGATACCTGAGTTGATATGATGTGATACTGCATACGATATGAGGTGATGCACGATCCGGTATGGATTATATAAACGCGTCATCACGAGTGGTCTTTAGGCACCCATTCTGTCCTCATTTGGTGGGGGCGCCTCTGGATAGCCTCTGCTTGAGAGGAGTTCTCAGTTTCAGAGTGTCGTGCCTTGGCCATGTAAAGGTTTCCTAAGTTTGCTGCGAAATTTAGAGCCGCCGTTGGTACTGCGTGAATAGCCAACTGCAACTGCGGACCAGTTTGTGACGCGTCTTTGAGCGAGGAAAAGGTTGTGAAAATGTGCCGGACTGAAGAAAAAAAAGTAGATGAATCGTTTTCTGGGCCCTGTTGGGACCAGAGACGTCGTTAAGCTTACCTTTTTGCGTGAACGCTGACCCCCGTCACTCGAGGAGTCCGAACTACGGAGAAATTTGTGTCGCCAGCCTGCTGTCAAGAGCGAGTGGGTAATTTAGCGAGCCATGCAATATCATGACCCGGCCGCCCGGTGGTGAAGTTAGTCGCTGTCGGAGATAGGCAGCGCGTCAAGTGGGGTGCGAACACGTTTGGCCGTTGTGGCCCGATCCTACTGCGTCTGCGGGTGGGATGCGAACACGTTTAGCTGTTGTGGCCCGATGCTACTACGTCTGCAGGTGGGATGCGAACACCCATAGCTGTTGTGTCCCGATCCTACTGCATCTGCAGGTGGGATGCGAACACGTTAACTGTTGTGGCCCGACCCTACTGCGTCTGCGGGTGGGATGCGAACACGTTCAGCTGTTGTGGCCCGATCCTACTGCGTCTGCAGGTGGGATGCAAACACGTTTAGCTGTTGTGGCCCGATCCTTCTACGTCTGCAGGTGGGATGCCAACACGTTTATCTGTTGTGGCCCGATCCTACTGCGTCTGCGGGTGGGATGCAAACACATTTGGCTGTTGTGGCCCGATCCTACTACGTCCGCAGGTGTAGTAGGTGTAGATCTGACTTGTGTTTAATTTCGATGCGAACACGTTCAGCTGTTGTGGCCCGACCCCATTGTGTCTGTCACTCGCTGCGCATGGAGATCGACGATTAGATAAACAGGAGAGTAAGAGCGGGACTACGAAGTCAGAACTAAATAGGAGAAAACAAGTATCATTGTGCGGTATCCAGGACGCTCACACTTCGTAGTTGGATTTTGCGCGCTTTGGTGCTTGAGACACCAGAAATCGGAATTAAAAACTACGCCCTACGACTCTGTGTTGTTTATCCAGTGTTTTTTATCAGTGTTGTTGGGTTCAGCATGACTCAGTCAGATCAGTCATCATAACTGTGTACTTGACCAATGCTATCAAGGTCAATTAGCAAAAAGTACATGTGATGAGCCTCTGTAATAAATGTAAAATACAATTCAGACTGCATTTTAAAGGCTTTTATAGCTTCCACTCGTTATGCAATGTCATCTTGATAGAACGCATGAATGATAAATGCATGCTTGAGCTTTCAAAAGTAACTGCAACCCGGTATTGCACCCCAATGCCGCCTATTCCTGGTAACAGGAGACGCGAGCGGTGGTTGTAATCAGGCAGGGGAATCCGAAACCAGTGCCATACCGCCGCGAGCAAGCGTGATGTTTTGTTCACGACTCACTGCTCATTATGCTGACGCCATTGCTGCGACTCGCGCCCCGCTGTTCCCGTCGGTCTGACACACTTCGCCAACGCGTGATGTGGGTTCAAGTTTGCCTTTCATTCCTCCTTCCCACAAAGTATTGTCACATCTAATGCATGTGGGTACTGACATCATGGCAAACGCAATCCGATTCTTGAAAATTCACAGATGTCAGTTTGATTCATTTTCCTGCCGCCTAACCGCCATGATCACTGCAGGCGCCCAGGAGCATTGCTGCCCCCAGCCACCGCAGCTCTAAGAACCGCACGTTGACGCCCACATTATCACGCAATGCCCAGTTACGGCAACCCTTGCTCTGAAATGTGAAGGAAGGTTGAGAAAACGAGAGCATACTATACAGGTAGTGACCGAAACCAGATTAGATGGAGTGGGAGGTAGTGGTTTCCAGTATTTATGAGAAGTAGGTTATAGTGAGCATATGAAGTGCGCGATAGTTTAAGTAGTCAGTGTCAATGATGGGGGCTGGTAGCGCGCTTACAAGCGTGCAGAGGCATCAGATTATGCACATGACCGTTTATTTAGTATATAAGGTATGTCCACTGGCAAAACAAGGTCCAGATGGCCCTAGGCACCCATGCCAACACCACTATCACCCACCGGCTGAGCAAGCCTGCTGTCAAGAGGTCACGGAAGCGGCGACGGCGTGCCTTTCAGCGATTACATGCAGGCATCAGTGTACGGTGTGGGGTCCGCTGGGACCGAACCCTCCCAACGGACCTACAGCTTGTCTGGAGGGGAAGACTCCGAAACAAATCAGCGTAAACACACGATCACAAGTCGTCATTGAAGGTCATACTTCGGGCACAAAGGAAGGTCACGTGACGCAGGGCCCGTATTTACGCATTTGGCTCGCTAAATAGGCTCAATTTTACAGTAGACCTACCAATGCTGATCGTTTAGGCTAAATTGCACAATGAGACTACCGAACAGCATCTTTCTCGTCGGTTCCCCGGCCGCCACACTCCATTAACGCCGCGCCATCTGTCCGCAGTGCGTGCAACCCGATCAGTGGTACGTTTGTCGGCGCCACCTCCCACTTCGTCCGGCGGCAACACCTCCGGGAAGGTGGCGGTGACCTCAGGCCGGGCGGCCGACCTCGGGGCGCTGACTGCCGCCGGTTGACTGTCACGTGACACCGCCAGCACGGCCGCTGCCACCGGCAGGGCTGACCACCCCCGGCCTGACCGGGGCGAGGCCCGGCCGGTCATGAGTACGCCCGGGCAGCGAACATTGGTCGGCGTGTGCGCCATAGCAGGGCGACTGTAGGTCGCCGGTGACTGTGTTCTGTCCGTCACCGCACACGTGAGGTGCCAGGCAGCCGCCGGCGTCGAGTCGCTGCACGCTGTCGCCCGCGGAAATTAGGCTGCTTCGCATGGCGTCATGTCTCCTCCGCTTCATCTCAGCCCCCGCGGTCCCACCACACCTCCAGCAGGCTCCCACACTCGCCCCCGCAGCGTCTCTGCCTGCTCTACCCCTCGCTCCTCAGACGTCACGACCTCGTACCCGCGCTCCGCCGGTCGGTCTCGCGGCCGCCCGAGCGCTCGTTCGAGGGCCTGGCTAGCCCGTCACCTGCCTCCCGGCGGGCCCGCGCTCCCGGACCGTGCTCGGTGGGTGTGCTAGGGGGCGCGGGCCGCCCGGGCCGGGGCCGCCCGAGCGGCGAACCCTGCGCGACCCCGCCGACGCAGGCTCATATTTTTGTTTGCCAAACCCGGTTCTGTATTGTCACTGAGAGTCCGAGTGGAAGTGTATTTATGAAATCACATGTTACAAATAAAACCGAAATCCCCGGGCTTGGTGCGTTTCGCCGGAGGCCAGAAACACGTGGGGTGGCTCACTATATTTGCCTCCAGAAGTGATTCCCTAGCGCGTATTCGAGCCTATGAATGACATCAGCGCTTTGGTAATCGAGTGGTGTGGCGAGAATTTCCAGTCGGTAGGCAAAAACAGACATGTCAGCATCGAAGGAAATGAATGCGTTCTTCCCGCCTGCACTCCTTTATTCGCAATCATTCGCGCCGTTACGCGTAATTTCGATGAAAGAACATATGCCTTAGCGGAAAACGATAGCATTGCCGCGTCCATAACAGTACGCCCTAAACATGGAATCCCCAGAGGACTCACCTTCACTATCCAGACGGCTGCATGGTTTGTTTGCAGCTGGCCGAGTGACCTCATACTCACGTAACGTTCCGTGAAATACACACCACCAGGCGGCGCTCCGTCCTCGCCTCTGATTGCGATGCTGGGGCCTTCCGTCGGCGCGAGATTCACCATAGGGATCGCACCGATGAGTCGCCACCGGAAGCGATGACGTAAGGTTCCCATGAGGTCTGGCGAAGGCCGTTGGTTCGGCAAAGCTAAAGCGGCCGTTTTGTCTTGTGATCATAGATCGCGCTAGGTAATGTATACATTGGGTGCACTCGCGGCGCATTAAGAATGTTCTGTTCTTCGTGACGTCACGTGGAATCTTTGTCGTCCGGTTCGCTGCGGACACCAAAGCGCGCAAAATCCATGGGAGATAAGGTCATGATGGCGTCGACAGCATATATTCTTTGTCGTCCCGGTCGCTCCGAAAGCACCTTTGTTGGCACACTGCTAGGGCGTTCTGTGATGCATCAGCGCATCTGCAATATTAACGTGTTCAAAGTGGGTAACAAACACTGCGGGTGATAAACGGTGGGCAGAATAGCAGCCTCTCCATTTGAAGCCCAGTTCCCAGTGAATTCGTTTATGTGCAGACAGATATGTGGAAGCCGGAAAAGCCCTGACCCCTTAACATTATTCGCCTGTTTCGGAATGTCCCAGTCCAGTATGATACCTTGACCAACAGGAAGTCATCATATGAATTGAGCCCCCCAGTTGGGCCCGGCGGCCCTAACTGGGCGCCCAAAGTTATTCATCCTCCAGTGATTCAAGCGCCCGAAGTGATTCAGGGGTCCAGTGATTCCAGCGCCCAAAATGCTTCAGCCTCCAGGGATTCAAGCGTCCCAAGGGATTCACGGGCGCCAGTGATTCAAGCACCAGAGGTGATTCAGCGCTCCAGTGATTCCAGCGCCCAAAATGCCTCAGGCCTCCAGGGATTCAAGCGTCCCAAGGGATTCACGGGCGCCAGTGATTCAAGCACCCGAAGTGCTTTAGGGCGCCAGTGATTCCAGCGCCCCAAGTGATTCAGGGGCACTGCGCTCGAAGCGATTCGGCTTCCAGTGGTTCAAACACCCTTAGTGATTCAGGGGTGCCAGTGATTCCAGCGCCCAAAGTGATTCAGGGACGCCAGTTATTCCAGCGCCCGACATGATTTAGCCTCCAGTGATTTAAAGACTCCCCAAGTCATCAAGGAGAACGACTGTCCCCTCCGCCTGCTTCCCCTCGGCTTCGTCTTTGTCGCCAGGCATTTGTCGTAAGTCACCAGCAGCCTCAAAGCGACTGAGCCTGCCCAAAAGCTCTTTAGTTTTATTTGCATGTGGCAGGCAGAAGTTACGATCTGCTGGATCAAATTTCAACCCCAGCAAATTCCGAACACCCCAAACATTGTCACATCTGAGTCTCGCTTTCGGCCGTAGCGCCACGGAGTAAAACCGAATCATAATGGCAGCTACCAAATCAATGTTAGCATCTAGTGATCACTCAAAGGGATGACATGGCTTCCTTCTTGAAATGGTATGCAGCCTTACGCATTGATTTCAGCTCTAAATGAGTCCAAACACTACCAAAGTTACACCCTTCCTTATAAAGTCATCAAATTGAGAGCAGTCACGTTTGTTTTGTTGACTTGATGTCAGCTTTTTCTGCAGAAATACGCAGTTACAGCACCAAGCATTTCTGACCGCTTGTTTTGCACTGAGCCTACTTCCCGCAGAATGGTGCTACTCTTGAGGTGCTGCCACTTTGATCTAGCAGTCGCGGAGATAACCAAGCTTTTTTTTAGGAAAAAACGTGGTCTTTTTAAAGCGTAGAATGGTAATGGCGGGTATGACGATGTCCCCTACATGTGCTGGAATCCGCTGGTTGAATGGGTTTCCAAAAGCCGACAACCAAAGCCCTTTGATTGCGCATAACAATTGCGTCATAGCATATCGCTGATGACAGGTGCAAAGTGCAGATACCAGAAGCAGGGTTCGCTTCCCGCATGGTCTGCGTTGCAGTCAAAACTTCGCAGAATTAGCGCGGTGTCAACATGAAATTCGTAGGAAACGGAATGATACGAGATGAGAAGAGAGAGCGTGCCGCAACTTCAAAGCTATTTAGCCCTACATCTCGGCAGACCCATCTTTCAATGCATATCGCAGGAGAAGATGGATGCGCGAAAACGCGAAAAACGAACGTTGAAAGCGCACAATGCTAACATTCGTCTGCAAACAGTGTCTAGCACGTCTCCGGTCCCCCAGACAGCGCCCAACACATCTCCCCCCCCCCCCCCCGCCCTCGACGATGCCCGGCACAGCTCCGGTCCCCAGACAGTGCCCAGCACAGTTCTACCTCCCCCCCCCCGAAGACAGCGCCCAGCACAGCTCCGCCCCCTCCCCCCCAGACAGCACCCAGTACAGCTCCGCCCCCCCCCCCCCCAGACAGCGCCCAGTACGGTTCTGGCCCCCCAGACAGCGCCCAGCACGGCTCCGGTCACCAGCACGCTGACCAGCGGCCGATATTGCCCTGACCAGTGGGGCGCTGGAGGCGAGGGAGGGAGGGGTGAGGGTCGACGCCGGCCAGCCGGGGGCGGCGCGCGGCGCGGCGGCGCGGCTAGCTCGGACCGGCAGCGCTCGGCGCGCCTTACTCGACGGCGGCGACGCACCACGACAGGGAGCGCCCGCTCACCGGACATCTCACCGGATAGCTCACCGGACAGCTCACTGGACAGCGGCAGGTGAGCGGCGCTCCGAATTGCCATCCAGGTAGCCGAGGAATGATGGAGGAGCTGCTGCTGACTGGCGGCTTATCGGGCCGTTTCGGAAAGCTCTCTACATTAGTGTACGCGTTTGTTGTGGCTTATGCGGATACCGTAACGTTTTATTACTACCAGTGCAGTCGGTCAGTGCACTGTCTGTTCCATCGTTTTACCAACTTGTTATTTTGCATTTTCTCGTCATCAAAGTTGTTATCAAGTGCCTGTGACAGAATCGGTATCAGGCTCTATTCAGATCCCAATGCGTTTCTGGCGATGGTTTGGGAAAATGTTGAGCGAGCCGCTACTGGAGCGTTTCGAGTGATTACACTCGAAACATTCGAGGAAATTAAGGCAGTCTTTCATTGGGGAACAAGTTTAGAGTCAAGTTCATTTCACTGACGAATCATTCCAGCAAGTGGCTTATTGCTTTGATTCGGTATAAGTACAATGGTAACGTAGGTAGAATAAGTACGATGATAGTATAGTTAATAAAAGTATAATAGCAGTACAAGAAGAAAAGCTTTAAACCGACAAAACGTATCAATATTCGCACATACGCAGCGTTGCTCCATTTAGGGGATTGGAAACTGAACGCACCAGAATGCATTACCGAAATTGCGATATTGTCAAAGCTATCGGTTTGAGCATTGCAACAATAAATCTTCCACCAAGACTGTCTGACTTTGTTGTTAACTTAACCAAAACTTCAACACTACGATCAACTTGTTCCCCTGGCTTTCCTGGTCGCTGACACGGGCACTGCCATGGGCTCTGCGTCTGGAAGCCTGCCTTGTACCGCTGACGGGCTGCTTTCAGGTGCGGCGTGGAATTAGGCCATTTACAGAAGTCAGTTTTGTGCCCCAGCTCGGTGCTGCCGCTCAGCGACCTCCGAGGTGAATTGCCATTTGATTCTGATGTTCAGTTGGTTGAGCAGCAGCGGTAAAGCACCCGCCAAAGTTGCAGCTGTGGTTAAAGACACGTCAGGTCAAATCTTCGAATCCGCACTAATTATCAGCACTTGACCCGTCTTAATGCATAGCTCTCATCACCGTGCACCACGGTGTTAAGTGTGAGCACTCTTGTATCACATTGACGCTGATACGGAAAGATGAGAAAGGACTATTCTCACCTGGCTTGACCAAACCTAACAGGTCATCTGCACTCTAAAGATTGTCTAAGTAAAAGATGAAGCCTAGTACATGGTTGTCGCTCCTTGCAAACTTTTGCTGGGGCTTATAGTGTGTGAAATTGACAAGGGATCGTACCCTTATTTGCGTTACACTGTCACAAAACTGGACAAAATAACGAAGGTGTAGCCTACACAGACGAGTCAAACCCGCCTGGCACAGATGCTGCACAATCTTACTACTTGCTTTAGACACATTCGTCCTCGCTGTGCACTGACGTAAAGTCACCACCCCTGTTAGACCCCTGAGAGATATTTTCACAGCGGATACCCAGCGTGACTCTCGGAAACGTCGGCCCGGTTTGCTAAGACCCCTTGCTTCCGGCGATAGTCTGACCGCAGCCGAGCCTGTTGCCACATTCTGAGTCTGCGTCACATTTCCAGGCATGCGGTCCACGCCGCAGCTGGTCACCCTGCTGACAATCTGCTGCTCGTCCGCCCTGTCGGCGCTGGTGCCGCACGTGGTAAGCACCGCGACCGGCCCCTCCCGCCACCGGCTCTGCACTGTTCCGCAGAATGCATAGCAGCTCAGTGTGTAGGAGGACGCAGAAGTGTTGTTCTTTGTAGGCTACGTCACAGCGCCAGTGGTCTTCTCGGTTAGATGGGTAGTTCAGCCGCACACTACAGACATAATACGTGACACGGCAGCGGGTTGATGGGTGGTGTAGTGTTTTGTGTCCGGTCTTGTGAGTTAAATGGTGTAGAAGTGAAGCAGTGAGACACAAATTTGGAGACAGAGCGGGTGCCTGCTTTTGCTGAATGTGGCATGTTTGCCTGTATAGAACATTCTGGATGCTCAATATCGAAAGACCTGTGAAAATTCCAGGCCGTGAACAGGGTGACAATGCGGTGACGGAATAAAACGCTTCAAATAGGCATGATGAACGTAAACTTACAGGCCTTGGTCGCTCAATCAGCTGCTTTGGGTCGAAAACCGTGAACGGGTAGGCGGCCTAATCATTTCCGACATACAGCTGCTAGCATGTTTCACATGATGTCTTGGGATTACACATGCCGGCGCACACTGCAGTTTTAAACGTTTCTCCACAGAGCCATGATTTGTCTCTCCGAAATACCCTCGGTGCAGCCGGCGCTGAACTTTACTGTGAAGTCACCCGCGCCATCTGACTCCTCTGACGACCTGATTCAATCGTGTCGGTTGACTGCGCCGTGCCAGCAAGACGATACTGAACCATGAATGGCAGCTTTGCAGTTCGCTGACCTGGAGGAATTCAACTGTTCTCAGGAGGAAAATAGAAATCCAGATATAAAATCTGCCTTTCAATCAACAATAGCAGCGGTAACTGCCATTCTTTTCAGGATTATTGATCCGAAATGAAAATAGAAGAGCTAACCCATATTTCCATCTAGAAATGTTTTCAGAGTCTGCAGCCATTTCAAACCAGTCCCGTGAATTGTGTTGAAAAGAAAGCAAGTCTGTTCGTTGTTTTGAGTTCTATATTTTGCCTCCCCACTCGGTCGGATGCTGTCCGTATCCGTACCAGTATCCACTCTAAACAAAACACATGACACATGTCTTGGACTGTTGAGGGTTCAAATCAGTGCTCATCTCCTTTCGGTTCCAAAAATAAGTTACTTGCAGCAGTGCATTCAATGGGAAGAGGAGACAAGACCGAGTGTCCATCCCTCCCTTTATCAAAATTTATACTGGTCCAATGTGCGTGTGTTTGAATGTTGACAGTTGTAAAGATAAGGTGCATACATGACAAATTATGTGGCAAAATTTTTTAATGAAATAATAATTTGATTGGCAAAAATCAAACAATTACACACACACACACATATATATATATATATATATATATATATATATATAAATTATGTAAAATTAAAACTGATTAATTATATGTGATGTCATGCGCCAGGCAAAAAACGGGAGAAAAAAAGTGAGAGCGCTGAGCTTTTTGTTGTCAAATATATAATTGCCCCCCACCCACATTGCGAGGTCCTGCATGCATTCCTATTCATGCGCCCATAAAAGTGAGTGATTACAATAGCCTATGAATGGTGCTAGTCGGGGGCATCACTTTATGTGCTTTCAGGAGGGCATGAGCCTACCAATGCTGCCTTGAGACTGCCACCCAATGCTCTTCTAAGCTTTTTCTGAGCTCTCGGAGAGAAGAGGGAATACTGGCCAAATAAATACAAAACAATTACCTTAACTGTTGGCATTCTAGGTATTCGGTACTTAGACACACCACTGTTGGTATCATGTTTATTTTGTAGGAAACAGAATCCTGTATGTGCTCAATGTTATTGTCCCGCTTACTCCTTTGTATGTTAAGTCAGTCTGCAAATTTTGTTCAAGTTTTGTTTAAAATGATAGCGCCCGGATAAGGATAAGAAACAACCATGTGTAATATGTGGCAGCTTTCAAAAGCAGAGTGGCTCTGATATAAGTTAAAGGATGTTTTTTCCCAACAGTGGCAAGTGTGTTTGTCACATAATTGTTGTTGTGGTAGTCAAGAATACGCTCAGCGACAGCGGTAATCACCAGTGATCCCTTACTATGGTTTACTAAGACGTTTTTCCATGAATTTTACCCCATTGTAAGCTTTTCACAAACAGGCAGCTCTCATCAACTTGAAATGGGAAGCTATTTCTCCGCAGCAAAACAATTTGTAATCTGTCAAACATTAAAGCTCTGCATTTTCACATCGAGGAAGCAATTTCAAGTGGCCGAGATTCGGAAAGAAATCAGCTTTGGCAGGTGGGTGAAGTCAACCTTTTCTGCCAAGCCCCCCCCCCCCCCGCCTTCCAACTGATTTTAGGAAGTGACGCCCCTAGTGCTAGTGACTTCCTTCATTTAAGTAATGTCTACTTATTTACCAGGCAGTGTGTAGCATTCTTGAATAAAATTAGGTGCCTTTGGACTCATACGTTTCAGTGGAAATCTCAATGGCTACACTTCTATTTGACGTCAACGAATTGAGGGTCAGGCATAGAGTTCAGGTTGAATGTAGTTTTGAGAGCACGTTCAGAGCTCGTAATGAGGCACGCCTTTCATCTTTCCTCTGTGATACCCAAGTTTCATAGCAATTCAATCAGCAAAGACTGAAACTTTTCTTAATGGACTTCGATCCCCGTTGACTTTTCAGCATGGCCAGAACACTTATAAGTCATTCACAAGCTTGATTTAAGCTTGATAGCCCTTTGAAACGTTTGTTTTGCCATGGAATGATGTTTTCCTTGCAACTAATACAATTAGTAAACCGCATAGCTTTAAAGCCATTCACTTGAGCTTGTGCTAACTCGTGCACCCCGAGCGAAGACTTGTAGAGTTCTCTAGAACTTCAGGAATCACGAGGCAAGAGCTAGAGGCATAGCTCAGTGCATGGCCTAATTGAACGCGCCGGTAAGCAGAGTTCTTTCACCTTCGTTTTCTCTGTGCTGAGACACCATAGACGAGATTCCTTTCGCGGTTAGCCCTTTGTAGAACAAGATGGGCGATCTCCTTGGGTTGTCTCTCAACTCAGCTCACAAGTGGTCTTGCAGTGTTCTCACCGCAACATTATGGACCTTACTGGCCTTGCGAGGCTTACGCGACTGTGCCCTATGGCAGAAACAGCTGCTGGAAGCCCCTCCCTTGCCCACTTAAGCTCAGGCTGGGAGCGGAGAGAGAAATGACTTGAAAGACAGAAGGAACGCAACGAACAACACAATATTGCAGAACTCTCACCCAAACACATATGGGTTGTGACAGACAGATATGTTTTGAACAGAGATACTGACGGTAGCATCAGCCGAGCATCATATTAGGCGGGGTTTGGACACCTACCACTATCGTGATCTCCACCAATGCGACAATCCCCCACTCCTCGCTTCGGATTTCCAACAAAGTGACTAGGTTTATGATGGAGAGGCTTGACTCAGCCTTAAAGGAGAGGCACGCCCACACGCTAACCGGAAGTGGAAAGTAAATGGAGCGGACGTGAATGCTTACCGGATTGTGAAATGTTGGCGCTTTGATATTATTGCTGCTATTCACTTACGGAAACATTATCGGTGAAAAACATTCATGACCGAATATTCAAAACGGTCCCTACTCGGTGGCAAGCCCGGTGGCAAGTCCAAGGGCCATGCTTGGCATGCTCACCCTAAAGAGCAAACAGAAAAGGCAAACTTGAAGCCCAAAAAACTGATTTGGTGTAAGGAGAGGCCAAAATCGTCCTCTGCCACGTGCTCCCATCGACCAATGAATCGTAAGTTACGAACAAAAACCCGTTTTACCTACTAGCATAACGACATGTAGCACCTTGTCAAAATAAAGGAATTCGTTTTACCCATCTGCAGCAATCTTGATTGATACCGTGCCCCGCCCTCGTAACACTTACACACACACAGACAGGCGGTGCGTGGTAGATAGTGCGTGGGTAGGCAGCGCGCGAATGTGCTCTTTTGAGAATATAGTCCCTACACCAAAAATGACATTTAACCTTCATTCAAGTGACTGACGCGTTCTTGGACGTGGAGAGCAGTCTTTCAAAGACGTGGAGATTAGATTTATCTAGCCCCAAAGACGCACAGCGGAAGAGCCGGGTCATACTTAGCTGATACTCAAAAGCCCACTTTCTAGAGACATGCAAATTAGAGCGAACATTTTTTTCAGAAAGATAAGGAAATCAACATTTCAAAAGAGCTGTCATTTTTCAGCCGTGACAGACCTAGTTTGCTCCAGCGTTGGCTACGTAGTGGGGAAAAGGCAGACGAGTGAGCGAGTCACGCTTAGCTGGCCGCCACCGGTATACATTGGCACCTGGGAACCTTGTGTTCGTACGTAAGAAGGAACTGTGCGTAGCTTGGGCCATGTGCGCTTTCGGCTGGAATCAAGCTTCCATAGAATCAATGTTAAAGGTAGACTTTGAAAAAGCATTAAAGCGTATAGAGCACCTTGCGGAAGTAATGCACATGGCAGGCAAAAAAGAAAATGCCGCAAGTTCCACGCATATTGTACCCCGTGTAGGCTTAACTGCCTTGAAATCCCAATGCGCCGTCTTCCAGTTCCAGAAAGCATAATTTCTTGACGCTTTTTCGGCAACGTCGTCGGTGCTAAAACAAACCAAGTTAGGGCTCGCATCAGCGAATGGTTAGCTTTGAGAGCTTTTCGGGTCGTCTTAATGTTACGGACACCAACGCTGGAGCTGCCCAACTGGCTCGCGGCACGGGTCCTGACGCTTATTCTGAACGCGAGACCCTTGAACCACTTAAGCATGTATTTCGTGCGGCAGACATGTCTGCACCCAAGACGAGTAGACTACTCCAGATTATATCAGGCACAGATTCTGGGATATGGCATTCGTGTAAAATTCGCGGAGGCTGTTATCCCTCGGATTCGACGAAACGTGGCACTATAGCTTTGCTTTCTCCCCTATGGCATTAACCAAAGTGACTCTTTTCGAGGCGCACGTTGGCTTTGGGAATGAGAATATCACATAATCCATGTAACGCACTGGTTCAAACTTCAAATGTCCGTCAGCCAACCAACTTCTCAGTAACAGGCCCTTCTCGCTGGGCCAACCACGTCCGTTAACGTTTTTGTAATCGCACCAATAGAGGTGCACAGGGTGGTTGTTATGACGACAGTGGTCGCACGTACAGGGAGGATGTGTGGTGCTGATGTAAAGCGTTGATGGCGTAATTTGGACCGAAAATCAAACTTGATTTTATAATTATGGCTTCACGGTGCTGCATTGGCACCACCCAGTGTTATCATTAGACGCAACTAGTCCTGAGGTTTCACTAGGTTACGTTTTTGAAATATGGCCCAAAGGTGGGACAGTCCGAGGGAAGAGCGAAAGATGGGAAGGAAGGGCGCCTAAATTTTCAGGTGCTAATGCAGACTACGCCCTTACCCTCTCCCCATCTCGTTGGTGTGCTGCCGATCTCTACGGCAGCATCCCTCCCCACTCCCTTGCAGTAGGGCCCTAGAGCCGGTCATGGCGGCCCCCTACCTTGCCTTTGAGGCGGGCCGTTCCGCCCGGGGCCCGCGTCCAGCGGCGGTGACGTTGGCCTCCGCTGGGGACGGCGCCATCGGGGCGGCGGGCGTCTCTCCATGCGGCCTCTACTAGCCGTCCGTCTGGTCCCAGCCCCCTTGTACTTCCTGAGTCGTCAGGGTTGGTTTGGGAGGGACGAGCTGAGAAAGAGCGGATAGAAACAACGACGTAAGGAAGTAAGAGGAAGAAAGAGGGAGGCAGAGATTGAGTGAGGAGATAGAGGGGAAGTGTGTGTGTGTGTGTGTTTGGTTGTGTTGTGTGTGTGTGTGTTGTGTGTTGTGTTGTGTGTGTGTGAGATGTGAGAGAGAGAGAAGAGAGAGAGAGAGAGAGAGAGAGAGAGAGAGAGAGAGAGAGAGAGAGAGAGAGAGAGAAGAGAGAGAGAGAGGAGAGAGAGAGAGAGAGAGAGACGCAGACAGATCAGACAGACAGACAGACAGACAGACAGACATACAAGAAGACAGACAGACAGACAGACAGACAGACAGACAGACAGACAGACAGACAGACAGAGACAGAGAAAGGGAGAGAGAGGGAGAGATATAAGAAGAGGAGAGGGAAAAGATGTAGATGTAGATGTGGGGGTGTGGCATACACATAGAGGTAGCAAGTGGCATCCGCTTGCTCTCCCGTGATACTGCACCTGGACCCAATTCGCCCGTTAATGCTAACAGATGACGCCCCCCGGCCCTGTCTGTTCGCGAACGCTGCAGCCCGCGTCTGTTCAAAACGACACTCAGCGGCCTCGTTACACACCGATTGTATCGGCACTGAAACAGTCATCGACTGAATCCAATCAGTTTTTTAAATACAATTTTTCAATTGGGGCGAGTCAGTGTTTCAAAATGTCCGAACAGTTTGGCAGTGGGTAATTTGTTGGCTCCTCGTTCCGACCACCGTGGCACACACCTTTAACTTATTTGTCCACCAAGGCAAGCACCAATAATTTGTTCATTACGACAGAGTCATTGCGAGTGTTGCGTGATGTGCACTGCCTGATTACGATGGCTCGCGTTGACATGCGGCGTTAATAGAATACAAGCTATGACATTGATCATTTCATAACTGCAAAAAAATCGGATCGCTTAAAATCAATAATGAAAGTGATATGAAATAAACAGTGCTTTAGCATACACTCTCACGTACTCGTTCTGGTTCGAATGAGATGTATAAGGCTCGAAATTTACGTGCAATTGTAAACAGCACTTTTGTATTTTCACTGTTCCGTTGCAAGTAAAATTACTGCACCGTGAAACTAGCATTTGGAAACATGGCTGCCTCACAGCTGCAGAATCACCACTCTATTTTAAATCTGACTCGATGTTTGTACATGTCACGGTATGTATTGACCTTACGCCTCTGCGACGACCTACTGTTGAAATGACTTGTGTTTCATTGTAGACAAATCAGGAAGAGAAGGTGGTTCTGGAGGACGACGATTCCATCCTGTCGCCGCTGAAGCCGTTTCACGTCATTCATGGTAAGCAATATAGCACAAGACCGGGAAGGGCCCGCTGGACAGCCGGACGGCCGGATCGGCGCGTGACAGGCATGGGTCACGGGCAAATGACAGCTGTATACACACGATAGGCAAACTTCCGTCGCGTCGAAGCTGTGTGATCACGACAGCGCAATGTGTTTCGGTTCGGTTTGAAAACATCAAAAGGTACGATGTGAGTAGATACGTAGCGCCTTTGCAGGCTGCGCCGAATGCAAAGGCGTTGCTCTGGGGCATAGAAGGATAATTGTGCATGGAGCGTAAGGTGGGTAATTAAGCATGGGGCTTCTTTGATACGGTTCATCATAGGATAACGCCACCTAACACGATTCTGCGCGGCCAAAGTGTGCTTGAATACAAAGTCTGTACGCCGAGCGGGGTTTCTTGGGCCTAAGTGCCCCACGGGCGATGGCGTTTCAGCGTATGCTCAATGGTTGTGTGTACTGAGGTATATGGCGCCTAACACTCCATGTTTCCAGAGTGCATAAACACAACGTCAGTCGATGGGAGTGTTCTACAATCAAGTCCCCAGGCCGGGAAGAGACGTGCGGTCTCTACCTATTTTCGGCTGTCAATACCGTTATCGAAATCGAGCTAGAATATGTCAACGTGCCCTGCCATACGGGCGGCTCATTGCGGTAAAGTGGAACGCTGATCGCGTGGGTTGTGCTGGGGCACTCGCGCCAAAGCCCTTCCGTGGAGGAATGCCGTACCGACCGTATTTGAGCCCCATCTGGATGCGCCGTAGTCCCTGAAGCTGACACTTCCGCCACTCATTATGGCGCGGCCGTGTCGATCGGTACGGGACGCGTTTAACAAGCTTTGGTGGAAATTTGTTGCCATTCATTAGTTACGTAAGTGCCCGCCGTCATATGTGTACCCGGATCCTGTGCCGCGCTCCTGTTGACCTCGTGTTGCACCCCTCAACACCGTTCTCCCGCTTGCTTCAAGCTGCTCTTCATGTTTCCTCGCCGACCTCATATGTCATTCCTGCTGACCTCGCCCGTCCCCTGCTGACCCCGTGCTGTGTCCGCTGACCTCACTCTCTGCACCGCTGACGCCGTTCCCCGCTGAGCTCGTGCTGTGCATCGCTGACACCGTCCCCGCTGACCTCACGCTCTGCACCGCTGACAATCGTTCCTCGCTGAGCTCGTGCTGCGTCCCTGTACCCGTGATGCGCTCGGATCGCGCCCTGCTGACCGAGCGCCTCGCCCAGCTGGTGGACGGCTGGGAGATGAACGGCCAGCTCTTCCCGGGCCCAGCGGACCACCCGCTGGCCGGTGCGCGAGCGGTACCTGGAGCCTGCGGTACCACGACCACCCTTCAGCCGGTGCGCAGCGCGCAGAACGCCGCCTGCTGCAGTACCGCCTTCCGGTCGGCCGGCTCGGCCATTTCCCTCCGCGTCGCCACCTGCCCAACCCAGGCACGTGAGTGGCACCACCGGCCCACCATTGCGGTCCAGGGGCCCGCAGTGGGGGGAGGGAGGCGGGAGAGAGGCGAACGCGAGGTTGACGAGAGGAGTGGAGCGTGTCGGTCGCAAAAGGGACTGTGGCGGTGTTGTCGAAATATGCCGCTTCTTTGGGGTTGTTTGTTTGGACTGTTGTTTCAGAAGCTGTGCTAAGTCGATTATATACGAAACAAACGCGGTGTGCAAGAATAACGAAATTTGGAGTCGTCATTCGTGTGAATTCGAATTTTCTGTGGCAAGTTACGTAATGTGATTGTCTTTGATATCACACATGTTGTTTAGGAACTAGCTAAGACTGAGACGAAAAATGCCTGAAAGCTCAATTAGACAGCTTTATATCCGTCAGTTATGCGCGTGTCTTCAGCGCTGTCGTACAGATATCAGCCGTCAAAAGAGGGACCAGCCGAGCTCCGTCGCTGCGCCGTGTCGTGTCGTGTCGCGTGGTATCATGTCGTGCTCGGCCCGGCTCGGCCACTTCAGAGTCAACGCCCAACTTATTTGACAAAATTAGTTCGTCCTGATACTATTCTCGTCAGAGATATGAGCCAAAACACTGAATGGCTGATGCTTGCGAAACTTAAAGCATTGTAAGTTCATATTCTTAAATTTTTCATCACACTCGTGTAATTTTAGTCCAGACGTGAAGCGAACTGTGTCCAAGTGAGAGACGATCTCGGCTCACCACACAGGACACGTTGCACGTGGCTGATCGTGCCCTGTGTAGGAAGCGGATTGCACGTCTCCCCAACGGCGCACCAGAGACCGGTTCCAAACCGGCAGATTAAAGGAGCGTAAACATTTCGCCTCACGTCTTTTCTCAGCGTTACAGCTCTTTACATCCCGTGCTCTGAACTGTTTAAACAGTTGATACTAATATTTCAGAATAGCGCAAAGCTTTTGGAAATATTACGATCGGTTATGAAAATGGCTAGTGCCCCAAGGTAGGCTGTTATCTACATATGGCTATTAACCTCCTCTACTTATGCAGTTATGGACTCTTGTCTACTTATCAAAATCCTTCGTGAGCGCAGCTAATGCGTTGAGCAGATGATCTCGGTCACGAAATGGACGATGTCGTGTTGCGTATATTAATCGGGTGTCATAGCAGTAGCTGAAAGCATCGGAACGGGCTACCCGCATTGTTTGACCCCTTCCCGAGTGCTCTCGGTTACCTGCTGACCTTTTGACCTGCGGGACTAAGCTTCATCAGCGGAAATAGGGTATGAGCAGTTATATCAACTTCAAACATGCAGCACGCTTCGAGACCAGTAATGTGGCGCCCGCGATCCCCAACAGGCCAGGGAGATTGCAATGTGACAAGAAGCTTTTACCAAATTTTTCCTGGGTCAAATAGGATCGAAGCGGACGGTCGGACTGCAGGCGTTGGTATTTCAGTTTGCCTCTCAGCTAAGGGGTATTATAGCGGCACGTGCCAGATGATAAGGCATTGCTGAAACTCCAAATACGCAACCGGAAGGCTGAAATCGGTGCTGTTTGTTAGCCAGCGTCGTGAGCTGCTGTACCCTCCACCACTTCAGTATTATTTGTTGGCCAGCGTCGCGGGCTGCCGCACCTTTTGCCAGTACAGTGTTGTTTGTTGGTCAGCGTCGTGAGCTGCCGTTCCTGCCACCAGCGCAGTGCTGTTTGCTGGTCAGCGTCTCGAGCTGCTTTACCTGCCGCCACTTCGGTGTTTTTGCTGGCCAGCGTCACGAGCTTCTGTACCTGCCGCCATTACAGCGTTCTCAGTTGGTTAGCGTGGCAGGCTGCTGTACCTGCCGCCAATACAGTGTTGATTGCTGGCCAGCGTGGCGAGCTGCTGTACCTGCCGCCAATACAGTGTTGATTGCTGGCCAGCGTCGTGAGCTGCTGTACTTGCCGCTGCTATATTCTTCTTTTTTGGCAAGTTGGCCAGTTTTCCGCATCACCCAACAGAAGCACGGCGAAACAAGCTTTCTGCGACTTCATGTGCCCGTGAGTTGAACACTCACCCCGTCCCAGACCAGCTCCGGCCGGTCCGTGGCGGCTAACCCTCTCCCTCTCCGCAGCCTGCAGTCAGCTGGTGGAGGGCTCGGAGATCTTCACCCTGCGCAGTGTCGGCCGGCGCAACAACTGCACCCTGCTCAGCCTGAACCCGGTGGAGTTCCGGGTGCTCTCCTACCGCGTCGGCGTGCCGCCCCCAGGCATTATGCCCGAGGCGCTCACTGGACCCCTCCTCAAGGCAAGGCGGCGGGGCGTTATCCCGGCTGTTGGCCCGTCAGGAGCATGCGCATAGGGATGGACTTGGGCGAAGGTGAAGTGCTTTGCTATTTAAAGTTGGTGAGAGCCAGGCGGTGGGGTGGAACTCTCAGCGGCCGAAATGTATGAATGAATTTCGCATGAATAGACCCGAATGCGTCATTATGAGGTTCTATATTTGGCTTAGCATCGCCACACAGAATGGAACAGTGGTTCGTACCGTTATAAAGCATCGAGCCTAGTGTTTGCCCAGAATATGAGTAGGCAAACACGTGCTGTCCCTGCTGTGTGGGATACCATGTCTAAGGCAGCGTGCTGTTGCTGAGGTGCGCGTGATGCCCGGCTAATGTGCGCCGTCCGGATGGATGTGCTGCTCTCCTTGCGTTATGTCACTGTGCAGTGGGTATTCCCGGCTCCCACGCCGTTCTCGTGGTGGCTCCGGCTCCCATGCCGTTCAGTGGCTCCCGTGTGGCACGCGTGGTTTTGTGTTGTCCACCTTGCGTGCTGTCCCTGAAGAGTCAGCTGCCCTCGGGAGAAACGGGATGGCCTCCTCCCTTTTCCCCTGAGAAATTGTGACTGTCCTGGATCCACCAAGGGGTTACCCAAGGGCCTATTCCAAAC